TATACAGCACAATGTACCATCAGCTATAGAGAAATACAAATCCCAGCAATACATTATAGAGCACCATGTGTGGGAAAGTGCAAGCTTACCTGAGCAGTCTTCCAGCAACTTGCTTCTGAAATTGGACCTGTCTATCAGCGGCTGTCATCCCCCCACACCTGCTCCTTCTTACTACATCTCCCCGCGTCCCTTGCCGATCGTGGATGTGGATGGGCAGGAAATGTGAGGCGGGGAAGAGGTGCGGCATGTGGAGCATGAATGCGAGCGGGTCTGGCAGCGGCGAGCGTGAAGTGGGGAGGAGGTGTGGCGCACAGCGTGTGGAGCTGTGAACAGGGCCAACTGATCGGAAGCCGATTAATCGATTATTGAAAAAGTTGACAACTTTTTCAATAATCGATTATAATCGATTATGTCGATTAGTTGTTGCAGCCCTACCCAATAGTACTTTAAGACTTGCCCCAAAGGGTCCCCTTCTCAGATATCCCTGGCAACACTGATGACTGTCCTGCTGCAGATGGAGTTGGAACCTGAACACTTCAGCCTGCTCCTTCCACATGTGCCTCAGCGCTGGTCAAAGACATCCGCAACGTCCTGCATGTTCCCATTGAGGACAGGGTGAGTAAGATGGCCACTGCAGTATTAAGAATACAGACCCAGCGGCCGAGGGTACCAAGATGGCTGCCGACTGCCTACTGAGCATGCTCCAGTGGAAAGACTCCCTGCTTGTTTCTTATATGCCCATGCATGGGGGACTTGCTAAAAAAATAGCCAAATTTACAAAAAATACCAGTGGTGGGGCATGGAGTGCAGAGGAGATGCACTAAAACACCCACACTTTTTAAAGGGCCAACTACCATAAAGGCCTTTGAGGCCAGGGGGACTCGGGGAGGGGGTGTTTGGAGAGATAGGGGCCAAGACCCACCCGGTAGTGTCAAACCGGTGCTGATACACCACTGGCCTGGACCTGCATAGCACCCTGTGGCTAACCAAACATACTGCACCATGTGCCAAGGTGGGCACCGAGCTCAGGATCCAGTGCCCGAAGCTACATTACAGGCCGGCCCCACATCTTCAGTCCTGTGTACTGTATGACCCCCGAAGCTACTGCCATGGGGCACCAATCTGTAAGCTGTGAGGTTGCTGCAGTGGCAGTAAAATAAAAAACTTGACTGAAGAATCACAGTAATAAGGCAAGTATCTAAATACATATCCCACAGTAGAGCGCAGACATCTGTCAAGAAGCCAGGACCAGCCTGTGCAGCTGGAGTTCTGGATGGGCACCTGCTCATGCCTGTGTGCGTGTGCATGTGCATAGTTCGGGGCGCCTCTGTGCAGGGACACACTGGGGGCTTCCGCTACCGTTGTGATGTGTGGGTTCCTTGTGTGTCCCTGTGCCTTTAAGAAGGTTGGGCTGCCTTCTGGCAAACCTGCACCCAATTCATCCTTTGCTATATATGCTCCAAAATAGAGGCTCTCAGAGATTAGAGTTAGGACCACACTACACAGAGCGGCCTTGACGAAGAAGCGTGGCTTCCAGATATTCTGCAGAAGACATGCAACTAAGACCTCTGTTTTTAACCTTTGTAGTTAGACAGAATTTAAAGGCCAAAAGTTTAAAGCCCTTCCATGTGCACCTTGTTTAAAAGCTGGTCATGAATTGATGGCTGCATTGCCATTCATTTTGCCTGCGCAGATATGCACGCAACGTGTGCGCGGACGTGTGCATGGGCTCGTTTCAAATGATGGCACCAAATGGGCTATTTACAGCTGAGACACCCTGGCCTCCATGTTGACTGATCTTCAGTTGTATCTTGTTTCTGTTCCTAAACCAGCATTCCTGATCTGACTACTCGATACAAACCTAGCTTGTTTGAGCTCTGGCTTCCACTCTGCATTCCCTGACCTCAGCTTGTTCTGGACTATTCTTTCACCTGGTACCACGCTGCCCGCAAGATATCGACCTGGCCTGCCTCAGACCACGTCCTGTCTGCTGATTCGGTACTACGCTGACAGACTGTTGCTGACCCGGTTTGTCTCAATTCTGCTACTTGGATCCTGCCTTCTGCACCTGTGTCCTGCTATCAGACCTCTGGAAACTGCACACAGCTTCTTCAGAACCTACCACTATCCAGGTGAGTTTGGACAGGAGCAGCAAGAGAGGCCGCCCTCGTCATCTCAGGCTCCCCTTAAGGTACGTGACAACATCAATCACCTAAGGACAAAAAAATAAAAACCCCCTGGAGATTTCCTAGAGTGGGAGGGGTTATATGAGGGTCTTCACAGTTTGGCCAGTGTCCAATCACCCAATGATATCTGCATAATACCCAGTCATCTCTGAATTGTCTGTGTACGATACAATCATTACATTAATAAATTAAGAGGGTTCAATACATTTTAAAGCAGATCACAATGTGGGTGTTGGTGTAGTAGAGCAGTTAACATGCATATTACTAGTTTTTCAAGCATCAAGAAACTTCAGAGACAAACTTGTTAACAGGTTATATTTAGTTATCTAAACCGTCAATTATAAACAATATTAAACCTTGTTTAGTCCAAAGTAATTTCTTAACAAATACTCAATACTTTTGTTGGGCAGGGGAGGTTACAACGACTAACATTTCTATACTAACTTAACTTCGACATATAAATCTAAACAAGTAAATTCAGGATTTAATGTGCATATTCATTCCTTACAAAACGACACTTACAAAGTGTTAAAAAAAACAGTAGCAGAAATGAAAAAAACTCTAAATTAGATTTTGCCTTTTTACTTTGGCTACTTTCACTCACTCCATTCTTAAGCCCCTTTGCGCTGTCTTTTCAAGTATCCAAGATTGTAATCTCTTGACCCAGGTGCTCGTACTCTCTTTGGCTGCACTTGTGACTGAGCAGTGAGTTGCAATTTTATAGCACTGGAGTTTACTTTTGCAGCTATCAAAAGCTCTTTCATTCCTTTCATTTTCTGGCTCTGGAAACTAAGAGAGAGCGATTGTGTAAATCCTGCTTCTTCTTTTGGTTCTGGGATTGGGCGATGAACAGGGGGAACAGGCTCCCCAGGCCTTGAATCCCGCCGTGGGGCTCTTCGTCTCATTTCTTCACAGTCTTCATCTTCAGTAGCAGGTTCCGAACTTACAAGTGTAACCTGCTGTCGTACCTGTGTGTGAAAATAATTTTAGCATGGCTACTCACAATGGCAGTTCACATGATTTGTTAAAACACTTCAGCTCTTGTAACTTTATACTAGGGCTGTGCAAATTAACGATTAACTTCTCGATTAATCGTTAATCTTTTTGATCGAATAATTTTTTTTGAAACTCTCTGCACGAGCGCCAGCCAAGGCATTGGCATATACACATACAGCACAGCAATGAAGTCATACAATGAACTAGGATCACACTAATCCAGCACGTTATTATTCTGAGTTGCCCCACGTGAGATTAATAACGTGCTGGATTAGTGTGATCCTAGTTAATTTTATTACTTCATTGCTGTGCTTTATGTGTATAGGCCAATGTAGTTGGATCTGTATGTGCATTATAATTAATCGAAATCAATTAAAAAAAATTGATTAATCGAACACAAAAATTTTAATCATTAACAGCCCTACTTTATACCCCTATAAACCACAATATTAGCATTAAGTAATTTGTCCCATTTATAATATTAAAATTACGTTTTTGGTACAAAAGCATGGCGAAGTTATCTGCAAATAAACTAGGGGCTTTTAATTCATTGCAACACAAAAAAATAAAACTGATGAGTTTAAATATCAACTGGTAACCAAAATAGAAAAAAAAAAAACAGCAGAAAAATAATATCTAAGGGTATAAAAAGCTAAGAAAGGTAGGAAGGAGTTAATTAGGCTAGGAGTAACTAAGGGCTGATAAAGGGTTAAATAGGAGTATATTTTATTTAAAACTTTTCTTCTTACTTGCAAGTTTGCTTTAACGGAAGTCATATGCAGATCAAAAGGTCACCCCTTATCACTACATATGACTGAAAATGTAAACACAATGTAACAATTGTAATTGTAGACTAACAAACAGCCAGGAATTGCTGGTAATAGGGGCGGAGTTTTAAAGCATATCTCCTACACTCAAGGTACTCAAGTGGTTATGACCACCTAAAATTCCAAACTGTATGCATTATTTCAAATAAAGCAAGAACTCTAAATAGTGCAGGCAAATTTATATAAAACATTTAAATATACTGAAGTTATCAAAACTGGAGCAGACTGAATCTGGAGCAGTTGCCCATAGAAACCAGCTTATATCTTAGGTTTGCTCAGGTAAGCTTTGTAAATGAAACATAGAAGCTGATTGGTTGCTATGGGCAGCTGCTCCAGATTCTGTCTGCTCCAGTTTTGTTAAATTCCGCTGTATCGCTGTACTTTGATATTAGGATGTATGATTTCGTATATGAAATACACATTTGTGTTCCCTTTCAAGATTCACTGTCACAGGTTGAATGTTATGGATTCTTGCCTTCTTTAAAATCTGCTAACAATGTAGCTAAGCTACATAAAACCTTCTCTTAGCATTTTTTTTTTTTTTTTACTTACCTGTGCATCAAATCTGCCAAGCGACTGCACAAGGAAAGTTGCCCAGCCCACATGCAACACAGGCGTTGGGCTGTCTTCCTCCCACCTACAGATTCCATCATAAAAACGCAGAAGGTTTGCAAAACAAGATGGATCCTGAAGAGCAGTACCAGCCTAAGAAGATAAATAGGATAAGCTCGGTGCTCCTATAATGCATAACTTAATTAAACTAATAGCCATTCACCTGATTGTTGGACACTGACTCCTCTTTCAAAAGGTTAGGAATTAAGTCATTGGCAATATCAAAAAGATCTTTGTAGATTTCCTCATCTTCACGACAATAGTTATACCTAGAAAAAAACCAAAACATTACAGTTTGAGTTTCTGGCAGAGAGCAAACTGTAAAAACTAATAAAAACAGTCATACATTTATTAATGAAAACCACTACTAATGGAAAAATATAGTCTTTAAAGACCAATGAATAAAGGCTGACCATACAGAAAGAATTAAAAGTGAACTATGAGGTGAGTGATTTCCACTCATAGTTAGAGCCGACCTGTGACAAAGAAGCGGTCACAGGTCGCTTCTATCGATCGGGAAGTGCGCAGAATGCACCGATCCGCTCACTTCCCAATTGTATACCTGCAGTGAGCAGTGACCGTCAGTCACCGCTCCCCACAGGGATTCCCCCCTCCGATCCTCCAGCGCTGAGTGGAGGAACGAACGGGGCGGGCACAGCTGGCTCTGCCTCTAGATAGGCAGAGCCAGCCGTCACTCACGCAGCTGGGTGGATCTTGACAGTATTAATTGGGACCCGACCGGGCTGCAGCGCTCTTAGTATATCTAAAGAGAACTATGGGGAAAACCACTTACCCCATAGTTCTCTTTTAAATGCACAGTACAAATAACGTCAGCACATGTGTGTGTCACTCTTGCAACACACACACACTATATTTATTATGACTTCTTCCACTAAGGTTGACAGAATATTAAACTATCCCCTCTATTCTTCATGATAGAAAATGATAACACAACTATTTCATATTTTAATATTACATACAAAGGGAAAATCATCAATGCAAAGCCTATGCGGATTGTCAGTACCTGTAACTTGAACATTTACCGCTTTCTTTTCTACACACCGTTCTGTAATCTCTCGTTTGGTCCATATATTCATTTAGGTATGTTTAATTTGCTATGTTACATACAGACTCAACTTTTAGGCTCTGTTCACACCTAGGCGTATCGAATATGCGCGTTTGTCACGCGTTTCAACCGCGATTCGCAATAAAAAAAAGTTTCCCAGGGCTACTTGGCTGTATCCCAATGGAAACGCGCAACAAAAACGCCGCAAAGAAGCTCATGTACCTTTTCAGGCGTAGGCCGTTTTGTAGCGCATTCAGACGGGCTGAAATACGGCAAGGTGTGAACCATACAAATAGAAAACAATGGGATTTTCATGTTTGAGCGTTTTGTAGAGCGTTCAATGCGCTACAAAACGCACAGGTGTGAACCAGGCCTTATTGGCAGTAGGAAATGCTAATCAAGGCATTGCTCCATCATCCTGTTAATTTGTGTTTTGAAAGCCAAATCAGCTAAACAACTTTGGAAGCAGAATTGCTCCCCCATTGCAATGAACATGTTCAATGCGCTAAAGTAGAATTTCTTAACCTTATTTTGAATCATGGGACCCCTTGACCCTTTCGGTGCACCCTTTTAGAATTTTCAGGCTGAATCCAAAAATTAAAAAATGTGTCAGCCTAAAATCACATTTTTTTTTTCTATCCAGATGGATTCCAATCAAGGTGTAGAAACATCTCAGCAATGATCAATAGAAATGGGAGGCACTTGAGCTAAATTTCAAGTGTTGTTGGAAAGGGTCTGAATACTTATGCACATGTGATATTACATTTTTTCTTTTTAATAAAGTCACAAACATTTTTAACATTTTGTTTTTACTTTGTCATTATGGGGTACGTACGGAGTGTAGATTAACCACTTGCTGACCGGGGTGTTTATACCCCCTTCCTGACCAGGCCATTTTTTCCAGTATTCAGCGCTGCAGTACTTTGACATTTATTCCGTCATGCAACGCTGTACTGAAATGAATTTTATACCATTTTTTGGGGACAGATAGAGCTTTTTTTTGGTGGTATTTAATCACCGCTACGGGTTTTTTATTTTTTTAAAATTTATATCATGAAAAAGTATCGAAAAGTTTGAAAAAAAACCTGTTCTCCCTAGGTTATGTTATAAAACATTTATTACCCAATGTTTTGGTAAAATATAAAAGACGGGGTCACGTTGGGTAAATAGACACCAAACATGTCAAGCTTTAAAATTGCGCGCACCCGCTAAGTCGCAAAAAACTACCATACCAAAATTGACCATAGCCGATGCTTTAAAAGCTTTTACCGCTCATCAGTTTAGTGTTATCAGTGATTAATGGCCCTAAAAATTATTACTCTCATGTGCAGCACAATGGATGTAATTGTGCGGCACAATGGATGTAATTGTCGTTTTCGCACGTAGGCGGACTCGACGCATGTTTGCGTGTGTATGTGGGGGGCGGGGGGACTTTAACTTTTTTTTATTGCTTTGATATGTGACTTAATTTTTGTAATTTGTTTTGCAAATGTAATTTTTCTTAAACTTTTTTTTTCCACTTAACTTTATTGCTATCACATAGGGAGCAAACAAGCTCCCTATGTGATAGTCAATTTGCAGTGACAGGTCCTCTTTATGGAGACATCAGGGGTCTTTACGACCCCTAATGTCACCTAGGGACCCCCAGAGAAGCTGATGAAGCAGAGACCTGCTTCACCAGCTTCTCTTTGGTTTCTGTACCGGAGAGTGACAGAGGAATACGGAAGTGATGTAATACTCATCACTTCCTGCATTCCGACGAGGAGGAGGAGATCAAACAAAGATCGTGTACTGATCTCCGGCCGCAGAGCTGCTGTGCTGGTCCTGGGCTCACACCGGAGCTTGGGATCACCAGCAGCGGCTGAGGGGGCCGCACGCATATTACAAGCGATCGGGCGTCTCTACAGACGCCTGAACGTAAACAGCCATCGCTGGCTGTTTACATTCAAAGCCGATTTCCCATACTGATGAAGCAGAGACCTGCTTCACCAGCTTCTCTTTGGTTTCTGTACCGGAGAGTGACAGAGGAATACGGAAGTGATGTAATACTCATCACTTCCTGCATTCCGACGAGGAGGAGGAGATCAAACAAAGATCGTGTACTGATCTCCGGCCGCAGAGCTGCTGTGCTGGTCCTGGGCTCACACCGGAGCTTGGGATCACCAGCAGCGGCTGAGGGGGCCGCACGCATATTACAAGCGATCGGGCGTCTCTACAGACGCCTGAACGTAAACAGCCATCGCTGGCTGTTTACATTCAAAGCCGATTTCCCATTTGTGCGCGCCGCCTGGCGAGATGGGACGTTTAAAAACGCCCACCCGCATTCAAGAAGCTGCTGTCCGGCCGTTTTATTACAACAGCCAGACAGCAGGTGGTTAATGAGGGGAAAAAAAGAATTTAAAGCAACTGTAATATCAGGCTGCAAAATAAAATTGAAAAAAGTAAAGCGAGTCTGAATACTTTCTGAATGTTAGCCCTCTATGTGATAGCAATAAAGCTGAGTGTAAAAAATTTTTAAAAATTAAAGTAACATACAAAAAACAAAACAAAATTTTTTTAACCCCCTTCCTGTCCCGGCCATTTTTCAGTATTCAGTGCTGCAGTACTTTGAATTACATTTATTCCGTCATGCAACGCTGTACTGAAATACATTTTATACAATTTTTTGGGCACAGAGAGCTTTCCTTTGGTGGCATTTAATATTTACTATAGTAAGGAAAAATTACAGAAAAAACCCCAAAAAACAGTTTCCCCTATATTAAATTATAAAACATTTATTATTACCCAATTTTTTGGTCAAATATAAAAGATGGGGTCACGTCGGGTAAAAAGACACCAAACATGTTAAGCCTTAAAATTGCGCGTGCGTGCGAAACCTCAAAAAAATACAATACCCAAAAGCTTTTACCGCTCATCAGTTTAGTGTTATCAGTAATTTATGGCCCTAGAATTATTGCTCTGACTCCGACGTTCGCGGGGATATGTAACATGTGTAGCGCAATTGTCGTTTTCGCCGCGCGCTGACGCATCTGAACGTTTATATGTGGATAAACGTGGGGGTGGGGGACTTACAGATTTTATTTTATTTTTTTTACATGCAACTTATTTTTTTTAAACTTTTTTTTACACTTAATGTTATTTCTATCACATAGGGGATAACAATCCCCCTATATAATAGCAAAGGTACACTGACAGGTCCTCTTTATGGAGACATTAGGGGTCTCCAAGACCCCTAATGGCACCTGGGGACTCCCAACGAAGCTGATGAAGCAGAGATCTGCTTCATCAGCTTCTTCTCTGGCAATAGCAGACAGATGACTGACAGGTGAATGCGGAAGTGATGTATTACACATCACTTCCGCATTCACAGTACGGAGGGAGTTCAGCAAGGAGGAAAATGCTGATCTCCCTCCCATCTTCCTCCTGACACCCTCCCGAGCCGGGCCGCAGATGGGGTAGCGGATACCAAGATTGAAGGTTAGTGTGCAGGAGGGGAGGCGGCGGCCCTCTAGGGGGGCACTCAGCCACAACATACAAGTGATTGGCGGCAATGGAGCCGCCGATCATTTGTATGTCAAACAGCCAGTAATGGCTCCTCAGAATGGACGGGTTTTTTATTCCCGTGCGTTCGCGAGCAGAAAAAAAAAGCCGTCTGATTACGGCAACCCGCCCATGTGAGCTTGCCGCCCGTCTGTATTTTCACAACGGGCAGACGGAAAGCAGTTAAAGTCCCCTGCCCCCCACATACAACGCAAACACGTGTTGTATACGACTACGTGCAAAAACAAAAATTGTGCCACACATGTTATATATCGTCGCGAGCGCCAGAGTGAGAGCAATAATTCTTGGCCCATTAATCACTGATAGCGCTGGGGGGTATGGCCTGGCTATGGCGGAGTGAAGAAGCACATTGCTTGAGCTCTGCTACCACCTGAGACTTTTCAGCTCGGCACGGCATCCCAAACCCTCTTTTTTTGATGTCACAGAAGACCAAACTACGCTCTAACGACGACAAGCGTCCCCAGACATCCCTACAGCGCTTCCTCTCCACCCGCAGTTCTTCTAAGGGCCCGATGGCCCCCGGGACACGGCCCTGAGGCCTACTTCACCTCCCAAGCCTCGGGAGACCTCGGCCTTGCCGGAAGCTCCGGAACCCGGAGACCATATGTCCCAGCAGAGATCCACTCCGCCTCGATGCTCCAG